GGTATAGCCATGTATAATTGATTAATTTCTAGAAATCTACTGAAGTTAAAAGCCATATGTTTTCCCCTCATTGATACATATTACTAATGACGTGTTTTGTATTAATTTGTCCTCTTAATACTAATTAATACTGATGTCAGCAGATAAATACCTTGGTCTGTTCCATGCTGCCACACTGACTAATGTCCTAATGTCCTTTTCAGAATCTTGTCCTTCCTGAATGTTTCTTTTCATTTGTGGACGTGAGAAAAGAGGTTCACAAATGCTGCCCCAACGCTGGCCCTGTGCAGAAGCTAACGCTTCCCACCATGTTAGAACGTATCTTTTTCTAGCCTGTGCGCTGAAAGCATTATTTATAGTTGCATTTTATACATATTCTGTGTTAAAAATGTTTCTTTTAACTATAGTAAGACAAGAAAAATCATGTACCCATTTTGATAAGTTGAACTGTATTTTATGGAGCCTTTGCCATTTCAGTCAAAAACTTTTGACATAAAAGATGTAAGCATAAAGCATCGTCGAAAATGGCAGCTAAAACTGGGAAGCATCCTTAACTCTCCATGCAGATGTTGGTCTTCCTGCTGTCTCAGAGCAGCTGATGGGTGTGAGGGAGGTGAGCAGCATGGTGCAGCTGATGCTCTGCATCCTGGCTGAGCCCTACAGTAAGTAACTGTCTGAGTTTCAACCTAAAATGATCTGACATTGACCCAGAGACTGAACACCTACAATCTCCTGTTTGTGTTTGAACTCTGCCCTTCCTGTGGAGAGGAAGCAGAATAATGCTGGCCCATAAAAAGATATATCAGATGATATGAACTGTCAATACGCACTTCGATCTGCCTGCTGGTTTGAGTTTATACATCACTGAGGCCGAAGCCCAAATATATACAGACACCACTTTTAACTAGAAGGTGGCATAGTTTCATTAAACATCTTGAATATGTCATGTGTTAACAAGCTAGACAATATTATACTTGATACTGCTTATAGTTTTATTTTTGTAACCAGGTGTTAAAGGAAACCTATTAGTATATCAAATAGTGAAGCAAACATGTGAAGTAAAAGTAATCTCTGCGAGACAAAAGTTCAGATGTCAGACTGCTCTCTGAACTGCTCATCCTACTTCCTCGATGATGTCATCTTGTCACTGATTTCTTTGTCTTTAACTAAGTGTCTTGGGCTGATATTCTCTGTTTTAGTCAGATGCTGAACAGAGAGTTTGAGTTAAATGAGTGTTTTTGAACTGGGAATCATGCAAAGCTTTTCCAGTGAAATCCTGAAATAAAAATATAGAGCAGAGAATGAGCACAACAAAGGTGTCCTTTTAAATTGCATGTTAAAAACAGTGAATGATGGATGTAAAATGACTCCTGAAATGTAACTGCAAATAAATCAAACATGAATTGGACCCTTCTGGCTTAACCCCCATAATAACAGCAAAGTATCGCTTCGGGTGTGACAACGCAACAGGAATGCACAGTGCTCGAAACTCCCACTGCCAAGTGTCTGTGAATGAACCTTTTTACTTAACATGAAGGAAAACATTGTTTTCAATTTCCCTTTCCTTCTTTCTTTTAGATCACAAATTCTCCTGTGTTGAAACTGTGAAATACAAGTTTGATTCTGGCACATGGTATGTATGAAAGTTTGTTTTTGTCCCTCTGTGTGTTTCTTCCACACCTGTTTGCCTGCAGTGTCGTTTGCAGACTGAAACCCCCTCCAGCCATGTTCAGACGTCAGACCTGAGCACAGCTAAGGGGCTCTTAACAGTGATTACAGCAACAGGGAAACAACAAGTGTGTCATTAAAGCTGTCCAACTTTGCCATCAAATGCTTACTTGGCTATCCAGTAGCAGAGCACCAATTCCTGCTGTTCATAGACGGCAAGAAGCCTATTACCCTGACAACCCCCTGTAACCCCAGTAACCCTGAGTGACTGTGTAGAGCTAACCAAGAGTGGCTACCCAGAGTGTCTACAGTTTTAACCCCAAGTTTGACTAGAGGGATGTTCTCATTTTTGGGAAGACTTTGAATATTTCCTCATTATCATTCCTTTGCTCATTACTGTCAGATTGTCATTCGTGTTTTTTTTCTTCTTTCCTCTCATGGTTATGTTACGGTGTGTTGTATAGCAGTAAGACGGAGCCGGTGGACAGTGAGACGGTAATCAGAGCACGGGGGCTCCCGTGGCAATCATCAGACCAAGACATTGCTCGCTTCTTTAAAGGCCTCAATATTGCAAAGTATGTCGGACTCGTCGGGCATCAGCCCAATGATTACTTCAAACTTTATGTAAATTTCTCTTGCAACAGAATAAGGGATAATTTGCACTTTCAACATGTTGGTCATGATTAGTGGCATTTTCTTGTTTTTGAAACATCAAATCAGATCTTGAGACATTCATAATGCGTCTCAAGATCTGCCTGAAATGCAAATCTCATGGGTTTTAATTGTTCTGTTATCATAACCATCAACATCCTGTTGCTGAAACTTTTGTTGTTGTGTTTAGGGGTGGCGTGGCCCTTTGTCTTAATGCTCAGGGGCGGAGGAATGGCGAGGCCTTGGTTCGTTTCATCAACTCAGAACACAGGGACCTGGCCCTGGAGCGACACAAGCACCACATGGGTAGCCGCTACATTGAGGTTAGGTTCAGCATTTACCTTTTGTCCACTCTTCTATGTCCTTTGACAGACTGTGTGAGTCTTCAGTCAAATGTAATGGCTCTTTGATTTTCAGATCATATGTCTTTAAGTTAAATTCTTCTTTATGGTTTTCTTCTTCTTGTCTTCTCAGGTCTACAAAGCCACAGGAGAGGAATTCCTTAAGATTGCTGGAGGTCAGATTTCAGATTATTTTCCTCTGTTCTCACCATTTTTGTATGAGGACCTGTGATGAAAGGCTTACTGTTAGCGTGTGGTAGCCTTCTGTTTCATGGCTTTCCCGCATCTTTGAGGAAAAACAAGACCCCTCCACATCTGTAAAAGAGCAGCCCTTTTAGTGACTGTAAAAGAGTGGCTCTAGCTCTCTCTCCTATTACCTGTCTTTGCCTCATCCCAGTGACTCTCCAGCAGCTTATCTGGAACTAATGAAAGAACCTTTGTGAGGAGCTGCCCTCTCTTCCCCCCCTTCCCTCATCCACAGCCCAACCCCTCAGAGACCAGTTGGAGAGAAATTTCACTCCTGGCTAACAGCAGCTCACCTGTTCCGCTCGGCCTCAAGCTCCTTTCCCCTGAGGGAGAGAGGGCCGATGGCCGGTAAAAAGCCCGACTCAGAGTCAACACAAAGATGGTGTGAAGAGACAAAGGCTTAGCCTGGGGCCTCGGGACCATAGAGCAGCCGCCAGTTACACAAAGCAGAGATAGTGGAGAAAGAAACAGTGACTCGAAGCAGATAACTTACAGGGACTGCCAGTCTGACTGTGGACTTTACCCAGATGAGTTAAGATAAATAGAGATATACAGCACATTGGACTTGTGCATGCAAATAGATGCAGCAGACGAGACACAGCTGCTTTTATCACAAAAGAGAAGAAAACATAGAACATGCAAATAAAAGGTTAATAAAAAGTCTTTACTATATAAGGAAGCAACATCCCTGTTTTGGTTGTTTCTCCTTCTGCTTAGTTCTTTAATGAACAGTGACAATTCAATGTTACATTTTCTTTACAAAAAATATATCTCATTATCAAAAGGTGTTTTTGTGATGATTAATTTAGAGTCTGAGTCACTGAACCTTATATTCACAGGGTTTTTACCCCATAACTAGTCAGCTAATCTAGCGAGTTCATTAAAAAACTGTTCTATATTTGGCTGGTCATATATTTTTAGTTTAATTCTACAGTAATAATAATAACTATATTTAGTAGTATTCAGTTATCAAAAGAATCCCTGCTAACACTGGGCAAGATGGAAATTTTGCTTATTCTTAAAATGTATTTATCAATATTGCAGTATATAAAATCTGATTCATCTTGATCTTTCCATGTTGGCTTCTACTACTGAGTGGGAAGTGTTCACTTAGCAGAGCTGACAGCAACAGGGTTGGGGGTTTACAAACCTTGCTTTCTAACAAAGGGACACTGTGGTGGTCATATTTTTCAAACAAGCTGAAGCAAGGTGACATCACATTAGTCCTCTGTCTGTAGGTACATCTAACGAGGTGGCCCAGTTCCTGTCCAAAGAGAACCAGGTGATTATCCGCATGCGGGGGTTGCCGTTCACCGCCACTCCCCAAGAAGTGCTGTCCTTCCTTGGCTCTGAGAGCCCAGTTACAGATGGTGCAGAGGGTCTACTCTTCGTCAAGTACCCTGACGGACGGCCCACTGGTGATGCCTTTGTGCTCTTCTCCTGTGAAGAATACGCCCAGAACGCCCTGAAGAAGCACAAGCAGATCCTGGGGAAGCGCTATATTGAGCTGTTCCGGAGCACAGCAGCAGAGGTGCAACAGGTACATTGTTTTATTACCTCTGCTAACAACGTTATGTTTCATCTGTGTTTGTTTGTTGGTCAAAGGATTAAAAAAAAAATACTTGAGAAGAGAAGAACCCAGAACAAAAAATGTCTAATGTCCTATTTCACAATTTTCCTGGGAATAATTCATGGATCTTGAATAAAAAAAAATTAGGGAACTGATATCTATGAGTTTGTCCAATGTGGTGCAGATTGATTTAATTTAAGGGTACTTGGCAGAAGTATGAGCTTTTATGATTTATATTTAAGTTTCATCGTGACATGAAAAATACATGCACCAGTTTTAAAACTGCTGCTGGAAAAAGTACATGCGTCCTGCATCAAAGATTTTAAAAATGATAAAATGTGACAAAAAGAACAGAAATATACCCTTTAAATTAAGTAACTGGATTAACTAATTTGTGCAAGATATAATTGTGTTTGTATTTGTTAAATAATTCCAGAAATGTCTCAGGAGAATCAGTTTCCTCTGTGAATCATTAAAGGTGTAATTCCTGTGTGTGATGATTATTGACATTAGCTGAGGTCCATATGGGCTTTGTTCTGGAAAGTTATGGTATTGAAATGTGGAGAGACAATAATTTGTTTTGACCAGGAATTGTCTTTTATCTTTCGCCGTCCCCAGGTCCTGAACCGATATATGTCCACACCTCTAATCTCCACACTGCCTCCATCTCCCATCATGCCCGTCCCAGTCCTTGCCACTCCTCCCTTCCTTCCAGCCGCCAGCTGCACACGTGACTGTATTCGCCTGCGTGGTCTGCCTTACACTGCAGGCATCGAAGACATCCTGGAGTTCATGGCAGAGCATACTGTGGACATCAAACCCCATGGTGTCCACATGGTCCTCAACCAACAGGTCAGACTGGTGGGGAGTCGTGGGTTCAGGCATGTCTCTCACAAACCCCATGTCTTGTAACTTGCAGCCATCTAGCTTTGTCAGAAATCCCTGTTGTAGAGGGAATGATTGAAACACATAATAAGTCTGAACAAGTTCTAGAAGTATTTAGTGTAAATCTACATAATTATTAACAGAGTACAGCAAAATGTAAAGAAAAATAGGAAAAAGTTTTTTGTTGGTGCAGAAAAACTACTTTATTTATTTATATTTTCATAAATAAACGTTTTTTTCCTTCTTATTATCTAACTGTTTTCTTCCTCTCCACTGCAGGGTCGGCCCTCTGGTGACGCCTTCATCCAGATGAGATCAGCCGACAAAGCGTTCATAGTGGCCCAGAAGTGCCATAAAAAGACAATGAAGGACCGGTACGTCGAAGTGTTCCAGTGCTCCACAGAGGAGATGAGCATTGTGCTGATGGGAGGAACCCTGAACCGCAGCGGCCTCTCCCCTCCGCCCTGCAAACTTCCCTGTGAGTAAATCCAACCAGGAGATTCATCAAGCCGCCAAACGCCCGCATGTGTTAGATTGTAGGGATACTTCAGGGTTTTATTAAGGATTTCAGCCTCATGAACGTATTGACCTGGAAACAGCTGCCGCAAGGTCAGCAGTGTTGTGTGACCATGTTCTCCTATTGGCACTGAGGGTTTCCACCACTGCCATCAGCTTCACACTGGTACTGGCTTGTTTGTAGGTAAACTCATCCACACTGTCACTAGTATGTGTTTACCTTGGAAATGTGACAACCTAAAGGTCACATTGAGCTTTGTAAATAAATACCTGGCACCCAGAGGATGGTTTTCTTGTCTTAACCTGTTGCTTAAAGGTTTTTTTAAACCTGGATCTTTCTTTTATAGTTTTGGTTTTTATTCTATTCTTTTGGTTTTCTGACCAATCAGCTTCATTGCTGTGACCTGGGTTGCAGTGATTCAGTTTAAATATTTTATATGATTTTATACATTTTTGATTTTATTATTTTCTCCAACTCACAGACTAAAAACAAAAAAATTTCCGTTGGTCAACCAATGGATAAATTGTTTATTCTAACCATTGTCTTTATAAACTGCAGTGTCATTGGTAACCATAATTTAAGTAAGTCAGTGGGTTAAAACATCCTTTTTTCTAACTTTGTATTTGTCAGTTTTTTAAACTCATTACATTAAGTCTGAAACCTGAGATAGAATATGTGTAAGACTCATCATGGTGTTTTCAAGTTTCGAAAATATATTGTAACATGAGACACATGTTGAAATACCCTGAACAGCATGTTGAAACTCTTAGCATACTTGACACTGTCTCACTGCTGGCAGGACTGAGCATGAGTCAAACACAACATGTAAATGATCAGATGCATCTCTGTCTCCCTGCAGGTCTATCTCCCCCCACAGCCTACACTGCATTCCCCACCCCGCCAACCATTCTGTCTGAGGCTGGCCTCTACCAGCCCCCCCTGCTGGCTGCTCCGAGACCTCCTCAGACCTCTGCACACAGCCCTGCTCACACTTTGGCCTACTACCCCCACCAGCCGCACCTGTACATGAACATGAACATGAACTACACAGCTTACTACCCCAGGTAAGGGGAAGCATCAGCTCACTCTCCCTATTTGTTCTGCTCTTCCTTCTCATCACCAGTTACTCATTATCCGTCCTCTTCTTTCAACTAAGTGCCGTGTTCTGTCTCCAGTCCCCCAGTTTCTCCCTCCACAGTAAGCTACTTTGCAGCGCCGCCAGGAGCAGTAGCAGCAGCAGTGGCAGCCCAGTCCCACCCTGCAGCCGCCGCTCCTGTGCTGCCCCAGCCTGGCGCCTTGGTCAGGATGCAGGGTCTGCCGTACAACACCGGAGTCAAGGACATCCTCAGCTTCTTCCAAGGATACCAGGTCAGTACATATAGAAGTAAACTGATGCAAAAGATTAAGTAGAGCATTTATCGCGACCAAGGCCGAACAATCCTACGCATGATGTATAGATCTTATGACACCATGTATAAATATATCATCTTATGATCTTATAGTTGAAACGTATGAAAAAGAAAAACATTTCACACCAAAACTGAATTGATTCTTCCCAAATCCAGACCCCATTCCTAACTTTGGTGGAAATGGTTTTGTAATTTTTGTGTAATCCTGCTAACAATGAACCAACAAACAGACACTGGTGAAAACAACCTCCTCTGCAGTGGTAACAGAAATGTAATGCATGAAAGTAAAATGTCAGTAGGTGAGGACTTGTTTACCATTGTATGAATGATTTTATTTCTCCAAGTAAAATCTTCATGATTAGATTAAATCTGCAGCTTCTTTCCAGAAAGTTCAATTGTTACAGAAAGTTGTGCCAAACATCGGTAGCAGCCTCTTGACAATGATGTTGAAATTTAAATGTTGACTGGTTTAACAATAAACAATGTGTGTTGCTATATTTTTCCCACAGTCTGCAACCACATGTAATAAAATCTGAAGCTGTTGGACCAGTGAGCCAATTTCCATTAGTGGCTTTTGTAACAGAATCACTCCACAGTGTTTATTCAGTTAAGGGACATGTGTACACTTGTGCTCCCCGTCCCACCCCTCTCTTTGCTTCCCTTTTTTTCACTGCCAGCCCAAATTAGGTGGAGTCCTCTGAAGCAGGTATGAACCCTGACAAGTGTGGTGTCAGATGTTTGAGTGGTCGGGAGGGAGAGGGGTGGGGTTTGAGGTGGAAGGGTTGTTGTTGTTGCACAGATCTGGGGTCTGCTTTTGGTCTTGACATGACAGTTATTTCAAACCAAGTGCTGAACATTAGAAGTTGTGTGGTGTGTGAGAGAGATTGAAGCTGACTCAAGTGTTGACTGTTGGCTGAAACACAGTAACTGTATCCTGAATGGAGTGAGTGTGTGTTTTCCTGCCTGCAGTTGTGTCTCTCACACTGGTCGTGGATGAGAAAACAGTTCTTACACCAGTGCCTGGTGTCTTTTACCCACAATCCCAAATCACTCTGTTGACAATGCAGCCAGTATTTTTTGTCCCCCCCCCCCTCTAAAACTTGGAGTATTTTGACAGTGTATACTTGTGTGTCTGCGTGCTGTGATGTGTGAAACCATGTGACAGCCTTCCCACCCTGACTGTGCGTTCATTATTGTGCTATCTGTAGTACGCCCCTGAGGAGTACAGCAGCGTGGTTCAAATGAGCGAACAGGCCAGGAGTCTGATTCAGCCCAAAGAATGGCTCTGTCTTTAGGGACTCACCCCAAGGTAAGAGGAGCCTCCAGACCAGAGAACCAGAGTGGACAGAGAGGGCATTCCCTACACGTTTAGATTCACAACTCTCAGTAATGCTTCGAACCCTCAGAGCTGCTGATCCAAACAACCAGGCAGCTTCCTCAATAATTATTTGTGGGACTGAAATTTCTGCTCAAACATTATAGCTGCAGCAGAGGAACAATTAAAGCACAACAACACCTCACACATATCAGCTAAAATCCAGTTTGACTGCATTTTTGTAGGAATGCCCAATCTAGCCATCAAGGTTCTGAGCTACTGAGCCGGCATGTCCGTCTGCTGCCTCCCAAACTAAACTGCTTCAATCTTTCCTGAAGCTCTGTAAGAGGAGTGCCGAGTCTGGATCCCTGACAGACGCCTCATTATAATCCAGTATTTTGTATATAATGCACAGAATGTATGGAACTTTAGGGAAACTTAATATATTTAATGTATATAATTTTAGTGCCAAAACCACTTTGTTTCACAATCCTTTTACTCAGTCAGTTACATCAGTCCTGTTTAACATCTTTTTTCAACTATATCTTCAGTTTTGACATTCACTCCAGCTGGAGGTTTGGTATTAGCACCGCGGGTTTCTGGTGTTGTGAGGAAATCAAATAACCAGAAAGAGCATCAGTTCTTCTCCTAAGACATTTGTGAATGAATAAACATCCCCCCTCTCTGACCGTCTCCTCATGTGATTCTCCAACATCAAGACTTTATGGCTTCTACCCTGATCAGTGTGTTGTTTCAAATCTGCATGTCTTAAACAAACTGATTTATTTGCATTCAACTTTTGATGCAAAACATGGGTGCATGCAAACTAACGAATGATAATGACGTGTGGGTTTCAGGTCCTCTGTGGGAGCAGCATGTACTCTACCTTTACTCTCTAAGCTCTGCCCGTTCGTCTCTTTTCTAACTGGACCAGTTTGATGAGCTGAGCTTTTTTTTTCACAGCATTGCTCCTCTCCAGCTTCGTGGGCTCCCCCTGGTGGTTTCATGTTGCTGCTCTGTTTTTCCCCCTCTCTATATCTGCAGCTCCAGCCAGACGCCATCCTCATCTTGTACAACTTCAGCGGCCAGTGCAGCGGCGAGGCCTTGATCACCTTCCCCAGCGAGGAGAGCGCCAGGCGGGCTGTAGCTGAGCGCTCCAACCACCCCTTCTACGGTCAGCAGGTCCACCTGCTCTTTTGCAACTGACGCCTCCCCCTTCCCTCAATCTGCCCCCTCCCTGTCGAACAGCACTCACCTCCCGCCTTCCCCACGGAACTGAACAAACTCCAGTTGATATCAGTGCTACATGAAGCAGCTGCTGAACCTTTACCCTCCCTGTGATCTGACATGTATTACTACACACTACGACGCTGCCAGCCCCCACACTCCCGAAGCCACTGGTGGAGTTTGAACATCTTCGGGGGGGAAGCGGCTGAAGTCATTAAAGCTTTGCGTTGTACTCATGACTGTGGATGCCACTGTGTATTTGCACCTACTGTAATAGCTGTATGTGGAGAGGAGATGTTGTGGAGCCTGGACACCTGTGTCTCAGTGGCTCAGTGTATTTAAAGGCTCAGCTGTATATCCTGTGTTTCTCTCATCAAACTGTAGTTTCATCCTGAAAAGCTTGAGGCTGCACAAACGTCTGCTGTTGATCTTTTATGTATATTTCAGAATTTTCCCTCTCGACCACTAGATTTTTGTTCGTCATAGTTTATGGGCCTTTGTGTTCGCTGAATGCAAACACACGTGTATGTTTATTCATTTAATGGTCTCCAGTGGTGCCATTGTAAAGTGAGAAAGAAAAAAGCCATAAAGACTTGACTTAAACTACTGAAACAAAGACAACTGTGTTCTTTAACTGTCGTGAATGAATTTGAACTTTGAGCTGCAGGGACTTTTGGTTAAAAGCACAGTAACATCACAGATGTGTCAGTGAATCAATGATTGTGTAACATGTGTTTTTTCTCTATAAAGCATTTATGTATCTGACGTGTGTCATCATCCTGTTTAGACCTTTTTGTCCAAGCACTACAGATTTGCTGTCATTCCGATCAGAGTTAAAGAACTTTGTCTGAGTAGCATGGCAGAATAATACTATTTTTATTTCTATTATTCCCAATTCTTTAGTTATTAAATCTAAATTGACAGATGTATCCTGAGGCCTTTTCTAATGATCAACCTCAGCTACTGTACATTCTTGTTTAGTTTTTGTTTCCAGACTATAACGATCAGTCTGTAACATCTTTGATTCCTGCTGCTAACAGCTGTCTTTATTTTTCTACAGTCTTTACTTGCATTACCCAGAGTGCAGTACTGGTCCACATGGGGCGAGGTCGACCTCTGGTGGCAGATGAGATGTTTCTTTGTTTGCGAGTTTGAGACTTGCATGAATTTAGCTCTATGTGAATTAGACTGTAAACGATAAAAAATGTTGACAAATGATCCGTGTTTCATTTTATTCTCATTTAAAGAGATGAATTCATCAAACATGAATAAAACCAATGATGAAAGTTGCCCAGACTTAGGAATATGTTAACTTACAAAGGGAAGAACTGCACCTTTAAAAACTGCATGGACACTGATCAGAGCAACATATATTGCTTAGTTAATTAAATTGAGAACTAAAACCACAAGGTGCTTTATGCTGTTTGTGACTTGTGAGTGGCACCTCACAACCAAACCTTTTCCTCCTGTGATGACCTCACTGCTGAAGGTTCTCGCTGGCAGCTGGAAAGAAGCAGCTGGTGATTCTGTTCAACCTCATTGTCAAGAAACTGTTCTGGCCGTCACAGAAATCAGAGTGCAGGAAAAAAGTAAGCTAAATGTAGAGAACGATCCTCTGGGATTAACACTGTCTGTATTTTCTGGAGAGACTTGAGAGTTTTTGGCCGTGTCATGGTCATCAGCAGATATTCCCCTATCAAGCATGGCCTCTACAGGCTTCTACCAGAGCCGAGTGTGACTCTTAAATCCATTGCTTGACTAAAATAACACTCAGAAGAGTACACACCTCCAGAACGGCTCACTTGTCCCCTAATGAAACCACATTCAAATTCACAAGATGCAGTTATTTAATTAAATGGGTTCTTCTGTGGAAGACAAAATTTAATGAAAGTGTGTTTCCCATAATCTTGCTTATGATGGAAACACAACCTAATTACTGGAGTCATCAGTTGTTTACTTCATTAAAGGTTCCAAATCATAACTTCACCTGTTGATATAAACTGACCCTGAACCAGTGGCCTCTATAGATGGAAATATAAAACTTTGTGCAGCAGAGTGTATGTGACATTTCTGTTATGTGTCAGGGGAGAACATCTAGGAAGAATGAAAGATGAAGTGTGAGCAGAGTGTAAAGAAAATGCAGTTTTGTGTCAAAGACGAAATTAAAAAAAAACAACCTGAAGACATGAGTGAGTTTTCAGTTTTATTGATATACACTACTTTAGAGCCTACATTATGATGCAAGGTTTTCCCTTTGAATAATTTCAAAAAGCACTGCAGTCTTAAAAATTACAAAAAAAAATTAACATACAAAATATACAAGAAATGACAATACAAGGCTCGGTAAACATCAGCTAAACCTGTATTTCCCTTTTATTTTACAAAACAATTTCATATATGTATGTGAGTATCTAGTGTATATATAGTATGTATATATACACTAAACACTCATACATGACCACAACCTTTTAGGAATGACATCCATTTTAAAGTATCAAAAATAGAGTGGTACAGTCTCTGTTGCTTTACCATCGTGTAAAGTGGGAACATATTGTTCGGTCTTTGGTTGTGACAGAGGAGGACGGCAGGCAGAGTTTTACTGTCAATGCTGGTTTTTCTGTTTTATTTTTTCTTGAAGCTGCACAACCTGCTTTGTATGCAAAAAAAAAAAGGAAGAAGACGCCATCTTCCTTCTCCAACCCACCCTGCCCCCGCTCAAAATCCTAATAATAATAATATTATTCACCGATGTCTCGGGGGAAATCAACTCTGAACAGCATACACAGACACAAGAGTTAAGGCCTCCTAACAGTTTACATAGTGACGTGATACTCTCACTTTCTGAATGTTTTATTTCTCCTCTTATTTACTTGACGTTACAAATCTCATTTCTCATATTTCACATTTGCTTCTTATAGTTTGCATAGATTAAATACGCACGTGTGCTTCTGTTGTTAAAGAATAGGACTCTTTAAATCCCTGTCTTCTGTACAGCATATTTGGTAGAAACACAGACCATCCACACACACACGCACACACACACACACATAGCCGAACCTATTAAGATGCTCGCGCTGTGTCCTCGACGAGGCTGATCGGACGAATGCAGGACGCTAACAGCAGAATCAGCCCAGCATCTACAAGTCTACAGTCTACTTCTATAGGCATCAAGGTCTTTTTTTGTCGTGTTTTTTATTTTAAAGGCATCAGGCAGAATTTTAAATGCATAGCAGAATCATTTTCACCTGGAAAACGACTTCACACTATCGTATGCGACGCTCGTCGGCTCTCGCAGGCAGGAGCGTCATTGTCAAGCTTAAGGCAAAATAAAAAAGAAGAAGCCAATGGAAATCGTCAAATCAGAATCTGAACCCGTCCATACACACACTCATCAGGTGTGTGGAATATACTTTCTTTTTTTTAAACAAATCAGGATTGTGTTATTGCTGCCACACAGGCACTGCGTATATGTCAGAACAGGAAACCAGACTGAATATGTCGCACTGTTCAGGACGAGACTTTGATTGTGAACAGCAAATATCGATTGTTGCAAACCGAGGGGAATGTGGAAGACCCCGTCACATCCAGATGTTGCTCTCTGGACTTTTGGGATTTTACCTTGTTCATTACAGAAAGGGAGTAGAAGGGCGGAGGAAACACAAATATATATATATATATATATTTGTGTATAAAATACTTTCAAAACTTGACTCATCCTACAGTTTGTCACCTCAGCTGTCGTCCTGTCACAGCTCTGGTGACTGTTACTTAATCGAAGGCACACAAGGTCCCTGGGAGATGTCGGGGGGGAGTTAATGCATGAAGAAGAAATGTCAGAGGCCAAGATCGTCCGTCTCTGTGGATGAATGAAAACACTTTTCTGTAACATGGAACAAATGGGCGTCTTCAAAATATCTGGGAAACAAAACAGGAGGGTTCACTCAGTCCTGAATCCCCTCGTCAGGATTCATGAAAATTCTATCCAGAGTCGTACCATCTGTTTATGGAGTAATATCAAAGTCAAACTCAAAGCCAGCTGTGCAAAACAACGAAAACAAAAAGCTTTTGCTACCATTCAAAGCTGCTAAAAATGTTAATAAGGCATTTGTTCAACGTGATGCTGAGGAAACAGAAGGGGGGGGGGCGGTCATGTACAGATATCTACACGGCTGCAAAGGTTTCTAAAAGTTGTGGAATGTTGCAGATCCCATAACCAGCACCAGGGGAGCTGGTTTCTCTCTGCCAGGCTCCTGCACACCAGGGCGTTCATATTTGTATTATTTAAAAAGGGAGAAAAGAAAAGAAGAGTGGAGTTTTACTGAATCTGACAGTTTGGTTTGGTTTGGTTTGAAATTTCAACGATCAAATTTCACTGTTAATAAATGTTTCCAGGTCTAAATTCTCCAGGTGTGATCACCTCATGTTGTGCTCAGTCCACTGCTGTTTGTAAAAAAATGCTGTCGGAGGAAATCCTGAAGGGACGTCTGAATCGCAGCTGTGACGTCGTGATGGTCGATGCTGGTGAGAGTCACGGCGAGTGAGAGTCTTGTCTCCGCTGCAGAAACGTGACTCCTAAAATGTGAGTGCTCGGAACTCATGACGAGAGCTGATTGGTCGAGAGGAGAGGGCTCACATCTCGACACCTGAGGAGTGACAGGAGAGCTGCTCCTCGTTATTCTCCAGCCAGTTCACCCTCAGTTTAAAAATCTACGTTGCTGTTTTCTCCTGTTCTTCTTCTTCTCGGTTGTGAGATCTGTGTCTGTGTTTCTTTGAAAGGACAAAGTGTTCAGTATTAGATGAGACAGCGTCTTCTTCTCAGGCTGGTGGGACACACAGAATCAACAACCGCAGCCTCGTCTCCTCCTCCTCTCTCTTGTCCCGTCGATCACAGGATCAGGACCTCGGCTTAGAAGCGTCCATGTTGGAGCTAGAGGTGGGGGGGGGGGTAGTGCAGGGAGCCTGAGAGAGGGGCTGAGCTATGACTGGTTGTGTGCTGATGGAGGACCATGAGCGCTGGGGGACTGGGACATGTCTCTGCCGATGATTTCATTCACTGTGAAGACAAAAACACACGAAAACACAAAAAATGAACAACCTGGAAGTGACTTATATTTGCTTTTTCTACATTTGCTAGACTTCTCACTAGGTCGAGCAGATGGTCCCATGTTACACCCAGAATGAAGTCTCTTCACATGAGAGAATTCAGTTTTAAATTCTCACTGTCACATATCGATCAGCCCCCTACACGTCCAACAGATCTACTCCACCCTTAATCTGCTCGCTCTCTTAGATCTGACAAATGAAATCACTGAGGACTTTGTGGTGGCAGGGCTTTTTAACATCAGCACCAAAGTTGTGGAGTGAACTCTGAAAGTTTTTCTGACTGTGAACATTCAGTTAAAAAAACCGTTAAAACCATTCTGGTGAATTATGTATAAGGTCTGTGTCTCTCTGATCCAGCAGAGGGCAGTGTTGTTCCACACGAGTTCCTTATGCGACCAAGAGCTCAAAGTGGAAAAACTCAAGAGTGTCAAACCCAAAGGCCACAAAGTCACAGCTCTGCCGTGAGCTCTAATAACTCCTGACAGAACAAATGAGAGCAACTATTCCATTCACTAAATGTGCCCGTTCAGACCTTTGTTTGAGTCCAACAAATGTTACCAGCGGTAACCGCAGCACGCTGACCCCTGTGAACACACTCTGACCAGCGGGGGCTGTCCTTTACCTCATTAGAGCTGTATTGGTGCCTCAGTACATTTCCTCAGGCCTGTTCATGGGGTTCGTGAGCTTGTTTAAAAAAACCAATCCATTGTTAAAAAACAACATGCTGCCGAGGCCACAGAGGCACAGCCAGGTTCATTACTCCACCGACTCGCTTAGAGCCGGATTTTAAACACATAGCACACAACTCTTTATTTCTTTCTGTTTTGAAGCCAGCGTGCGTTAATGTTTTAGATCTGCAGCCTCCATTCAGTTTTCACACAGGGACCACAAGCATGGAGCTGGTAAAAAAAACTGCAGCCGCCAAGTAAATCAACTTCAGTCACTTTGACGTGGTGAGGAAAGATGCGAGGAGGGAAACGACAGAGAAAACATTTGGAATTCATGGAAAATATGATGTGAATGTTTTTCCTATTGTAACGTGGTGAATGTGAGAGGCTCTCGTCCTGTGAGGAGCTTTCTGTTTTAAAGGTGACGCTGACAGGTCATAGCACACGATTCATTCCAGGCAAACTGGTTTTGGAGGGAGGGAGCGTGCAGCAGAGACCTTTAGACCAGTTTGACACCAGGCCTGCAGGCCTGTCTGTACACGACAGTCGCAACAAAGCTCCTCTCTCTCCACCACCTACACGTCGGTGTGTATTTGTGCAACTGCGTCGTAAATCCCACGTTCCCCAGGTCGTAATTAAACAAATGTTTTACTGTTCGTCTCTTTTCTGAAAAGGTGGCAGGAGGTGAGTCAGTCCTGCAAAGACGTGCAAGTGAACGCAGCTGACATATTTTCAGAAGAAAAAGAAACCAGATTCAAATTTTATGACGCACACAGTGACTTGAATTCAGAAACATCTATTTAACAAATGTACTGAATAAGAATGTGACTTCAACCTCATAAGATGAGTAAAATATCCTATTACTATAGAATACTAGTGTTATTTTTACATTTAAATTATTCTGTTGCACTTTGTCTTCAACTCTCCCTCAAACTTCATCGCGCAACACATCATTGATTTTTCACCGTCTCTGTGTCTGTGAGAGTTGGTACAAGTTTAGTGGTTTTTTTATTTGTGTTTTGTGCTGCTTGCTTTTGTCTGTCTGTGTCTGGCCACCATCACTCACATCATCCTGTTAGCGTGGGAGGCTCTTCCTTTCCCATGTCAACCATGTTCACACACACACACACATATTCAGCACCACCACACACTCATGAGGTGACACTGTGACTATCAAAGCAAACATATTTACCTCTGTATGTAGAAGCCTGAGCTGTAACATACAAGTCAGACAGTTCAGTGGTTTTTCAAATGATTTCATTTGTGAAATTATATTGCGATGGACAAATTATAGACCATTAAAAGGGTACGACCTTTTCAAAGAAAGTGTTAAACTGCGTTAAAATTAACAGCATCTTACACCCGTTAGAGAATCACTGTCCTAGCGAAGCGGTGAAATAAAAAAGCCTACGCTAACTTCGTGTGATTTCCCTGAGCATCAGAGAAATGTCTAATGATTAACTCCTAACACAGTTGAGATAGAAAACACATAAAAAGTTTAGAATTTCAACTAAGATAAATTACATTTCCAGGCTGATCATGGAGCAATATTTATGAGCCTCCTGCACTGGTGAAATGTTCTTATAAACCTCTGCAGCACAGTTGAATCGTGAGGGGTTAATCTGAACACCACAGGAATATGAGCAAACGCATTGTGAACGATGAAGTGGGCGTCTGCGAAAAAAAAAAAAACACATGTCACTTTCCGCTGTACTGATCAGATTGTTGCAGAGGCAAACATTAACCTATGGACTGATGATGCAGCTCAGGGGAGACGCACCACAGGCTAATTAGCATAAAACAACCTGAAAACACTATGATTCGATCAAGTGCAACTTGAAACTAATCCCTCTCATCTGATTCACTCGGTTTTCACATTTAAAAAAAGGTTTCCCCACACAATCTGTCAGAAAACCCTCTGAAGCTTCAGTCTCGACGTTACAGTTGTGTTATTGCTCTGTTTGGCTGTTTGAAAAACATTGTGCGTATACAAAGGTCTGATATTCTTTTTTCGTTTCTCTCTGGTTGTCAACAACTTGTGAGAAACTGATGAAAAATGGAAAAAAGAAAATTGGGACTGAGAAGGAAAAGCTAAAAATAAAAGCACAAACACCATAGAAAAGTTCAGTTGTTTGACTTTTTTTTTCAGTAAATGAATTTTCCCGTCGCAGTGAGAAACAGAGAATCTATACTTCAGATACCGTCATTCAATTTCATCTGCACACATCAATGATCCGAGGTGTGAGAGGGGTTTGAATCGACGGCCTGTGACGAGTTTCATAAGCTGACAGAGTTTTCTCAGATTTACTGGTATTCTTCATGAATGTACAGCAGAGAGCTGATGATTCAGTGCTGCCTGCTGTGCTGAGTGAGGCTCTGAATGACTGCAACCGATGGGAGATCCTCTACTAATGACTGGGCGGGGGCCTCCCTAGTCAAAATATACATCTGCAGTCTGACTACTAGTACTACTACTACTATCAGCTTCCATGTCATATAATCAAGATGGCGGTACACAGGGACGCAGCGGCCTTGCTCTCGTCTGAGTGGTGTTGTGTTCTGTTTGTTTTGTCAGCATGTTGTCTAAATATCATTGCACAGTGTGAGGAGGCTGCACTCACTCCCTCACCAGTCAGGTCAGCTCTTTGTTTATTCATTCTGAATATTTGGTTTCTGTTAAGAATATTTGTTTCTCTGTTTGTGTTGTCAGTTAAATTAGGATCCACTTTAGTTGATAAATGCATTTGTTTAAATTAATATATTTTCATTCAAATATTAGTTTCATTATTGGTGGTTTGCCTTGATCTCTCATCATGTTTTCTTTGAGGTTCACTTCCTGGGTGAGGCTGGTGCTCATGAACACCACATCTCCACCAGGTGGTTTCAATGTGGACTAAAGCATGTAGGAATGAGGAATGGGGGGAGGGAGCAATTGATTTTCTTTTGTATTGTCTTTTTCTCCTAGCCTTAAGTAATATTAACTCTAGCCTTAATAATTTGTTGTAGAGTTATTTTACTCTTTCATGTATTCATTTAAAAACACTTTATTAATATTCTTGTTTGCTTTAATTATTTTCATTTTACCTTTTCTATTTAAGGGATGGTTTTACCCAAACATATAAAGAGCTACTGTTTGAAGCATTCTGCCATGATTGTCTGTGGGCTGGGGACCTTTCTATCTGTCTGTGAGTTTTTGTGTATTGATGCCACGTATCTTTATCTTGTGAGAAAGTAAACCAGTCCAGTTCCTGGACTTGTGGTTCATTGTTGCACTTCCATTCTCCCAGACTGACTGCTCACATCCTTAAGTTTGAGTTTGAGTTTAAACGGTTGAAACATCTATCCCTGACAAACAGCTGTGCAATGACAATAAAGGCAATCTATTCTATTCTTCTCCCTCCTGTGAGCTAAAGATGTTTATGAAAGTGTCCTCGTCCTCAGATCCACACCTCTAAAAATGATGGGACATTTACTCTAACTGTGACTCATGTGCTCCTCACAGGGTCCATTTCTCCAAGTTGTAAAGTAGGTCTGACTACATTGTGTTCATGTGCTTTGGAGTTGCAATGTGGTAAAAACACACTGTGAGCAAAATGTGTTGTATTCATGTGTTTGGAGCCGTGACACCATATTCTAATATCTGCATGGTAATGCAGAGCAAAGCAAAGGGATCAGGTGTGACAGATAATAAATCATTTCAAATGTACACTGTGTTAGCTAAAATGTAGATGCAGGAAGTCACCGTAGTGTACCATTTGACAACTTCACATTAAAAGCTACTATTTAAAGCTGATTGTAAAATTATGTTAATTGGTTTATAGGTGATGACTTCAGAAACAAGACAACTCGTGCGCCAAAATTTTGATTTGATTTTCCCAGAGTTGTTCTTAAAGATTAAGTTCACGTGTATTTTCCCAGTCTTTCCATTTAATCTGACAGCACATGAATGCACAATCTGAACAGCTTGATGAATTCACACATCTGCCTTCCAGTGCAAAGAAGGCAGGAGAAAGCTTGAATCTCTGAACTAGGGGTTAGTTTGGTTAGTTTTTTTTTTGTTTTTTCGTTAAGTTAGTCACTTGATGCAACTGACTGGCATCAGTCAATCAGGAACAAGAGTGAGGGTGTGATTGAGTAATGTCATTACTGAAGTGCGTGCCCGTAGAGGTACATTTAAAAGATTTCCATAATGCAAAGCAGAAGTGAAGTGGGCTGATGGACATCCAGTACGATAAACACATCAACTGTCGAAATGGAAAACGGGTAATTATCATAACCGACA